CAATACGAGTGCGCTTAAACAAACGCAAGATTCTAGTTTTTTAAGGGTACGAAGTCCCACAGCCTTACGAAACCGAGCTATTAAAATACTTAACCGCTGATTTTCTAAAATAATCTGCTTACCGATATCTTGTTTCACTTGAGATGCACGAAAAAAGGCACATCCTCAAGTGGGTCAAGTTTTGTTTGTTAAAACCCTCCTCGTTAGACTACTCTACTCTTATAAAAAACGCAAGTATTTGCAAATATCATAGACATCTGTCTGAAATCCGCAAACCATCTGCCAGATATGATTATCCTGGAACATTTTATACATAGAGAAAGCCCATTTTCCGCAACAGACTAGACGAATAAATAGAATCCCCAGAGTTTAATTGCCTGAAAATTACCTCTCCAATTTCTATCAGCAGAGTTTACGAGTTAGGACGCAAGCTATGGGTGTCAGTACGCTGAGTGCGAACTCAGTGAAGATTTCATAGGCCTACCAGTGTCCGCGAAACAGATGTCTGTGAGTATAATGAGTCAACTAGTACTCATCTATTCTGCGAAAAATCAATATCGCCTTAAAAAAATCCTCTGTGTTTGTTGGAATCCAAACAAGACGAAATTAACACACCACGCAATCAACCCTTGATTTTGGCTGCCGTTTATAAATCGTAAGTGGCGGAGACTGTAACCTGTAACCATTCCAGCTCCGTTTGTATTTGTTGCAGCACGGAAAATTGTTGTAATGTCTCCGATTGTGGTGTATTACAGTAGCATAGGCGAATAGTCCGTCATATTGACTTCAGAAGTACTAGATAAAAGCTCAAACACATGTCGGTGTCTGATAGAGCTGCGAAGGAGTTCGACTCAGCAGTGAGTTCCACAGCGTTCTCATCAGCTTTATTGTAGATTTCGTCTTTTGACATTTGCCTGGGATCTTATTTCATAGCCGTACCGGCAGTAGGCAAACCCCAGTCTAACCACTAACCTCAAACACTAACCACGACTCCAAACCCTCACCCCTAACTCCAACCCCTAACCTAAGCACTTACAGGTACGACTACGAAATATCTTGCCGAAATGTAACTTCCTAATTTCCTAAAAAATGAATACGCTTAATTAGAGTAAACAATTTGAGCAAACCATTGTATGGATGGTTCAAAAGCGAATGGAAATATCTGAATTGAAGTCATTCAGCTACGTAGGAATAAATGCGTAATATTTACAAGTCGCCAACAGGCAGTTAATAACTATAATTTATCATTATTAACCATAATGACAAAACAGACGCTTGCTGAAAGCAGGGCTCGTTGCCCTGTCGGTTGCGATCGGGAATATAAAATGGTAGAGGAATGTTCGCCGATCGAGTTTATGAGACTTACTCGTCCCGTTATGCCTTAGGACCCTCTCTCTTTCGAGCCCAGACATCAACCACATTGTTTCATACCCGTCCTGATAATTACTACGTTTTAAGCGCATTTTGAGGTCACAATTGGGTTTTGCATGAATGTTGGCAACGCTGTAATTGGCCGTTGTTTATCGTACCGCAGCTGCATTCCGTGTTTTGTTAATGCCCACGTTCAGTCTCACTACCTGAACCTATACTTATTCCCCACCAACACCAAGCACACGGAGTTCTGCTGCCCCAATTTTTCTGTGTTGGACATGGAGACTAATCAACTGCCGGCACTGTCACGTAATGCATGACTGCTGTAAAAAGGACAGCAAGTGCACTAGAGTTTGCAATACAAGTCACAAAAACGGCAGTACGATGAGAATATTAAAATATAACCCCCATTCTAAACCGTATAACATAATATCACACTGGAAATGCCATTATGACGCACTAATTAGTAAAAATGATTGATGTAGTATGAAATTTAACGGTATGCGGTGCGCATATGGGACAGATCCAAACCACCACAAAGAAGACATGCATTTACGAAGTCAGTTGTATTCATTTACAGGTCGTGTAGAGTTTCGTATCAAATCACGCCAAGCAACTACGCCCTCTAACAGATTATCTAAAGGCCTATTTTCCGAGCTACAAAGCCCCGCTTCTTCAGACAGTCTAAAATTTGATGCAGGTTACACGCAATAAGTCATTCCTTTCGTCGTGTCATCTGTCGCCTGGCGGAGTTTCTAAGTTTCAAGTTGCAGAAGTTTCACTTTACAGGACCACTTATATGTCTGCGAGATGTAATGTTTTCCTGGGGACACCTTCGTGGGCCACATGAATTATCTGGCAGTATTTCCAAATCACAAAGCACCTATTGCTAATAGACAGATGTGGCGTCAATTTTTCTAAAAAAACTAGCTGCTTAGAAATATCTGCTCTAGGGAGCTACTAATAGAGGTAAACCACTGGTCCCGCATTGCGTTTGTTGATCTTGGGTGGAATGGCGGCTACATGGGGCTGAATGGCATGTCCTCCCGATACATTTTATTTAATTGCAGGAAATTTCTCAATTGGGAAGCCACCTGGACTTCGTGATTACGATCTTTTTCTGCAGATAATATTTCATATTTAACATGTACCCTTCCTATTCGGCATTCAGAGTATTTTACTCTTGACTATCAGACCGTGACTGTTGAAATAACTCGTACAATTCCTAATCAGCGACAGATATATTTCCTCGACAAACAGAAATAAAAGCATTTCAAATATACATTATTGCACTTTCATTTTCTTTCAGTCAACCAAAATTCACTAGTCGTGTTCCTTGAAGAGTAGACACTAATGTTGTTTTTATAGGTCATATTTTTCTAGAGTTGGTGGGAGAATCACCCGACAATAAAGCATCAGACATTCCTTCTGCCTATATTTTTCAACACTAGTGCACTGTTTCTAATTCAGTGCAAATAAAAGGCACTTCGCCATACTTAAGAGTCTGTGGCATAGTCAACAACGTCCTATTTTGTACTAATCTTCATAAAATTTGTTCCCCTTATTTAAATTGTCATGTCATAAGAAAATGGGCATTTTGGCTTCTAGTGACCCTGTCCCTGGTTCCTGAAGCATATTTAAAACTACCAGCCGTATTTGCGAAACAATGACTCATTATTACAAGCAGAGGGACTTTGAAGTGACTTGGCTGCTCGTTAAAAAGCAAAAACACTGCATTTATACCCAATTTTATCAGTCTGTCTAGGTTAATAACAACTACATTTCTGCCTTATTTGGAGATAACTTAGTAGATGTTCACTGTCTACTTCTGCAAAATGTACATTGAATGTTGCATCTTTGCCTAAAAGTGCACTTTTCAGGCAAGTTCTTCCTCGATGCCGTTGCAAATTACTTCGCGCCCACGGGCTTCCTATCCATTTAGCTTTATATTTTGGTATCGCTCAAAGAATATGTCACCCGATATACAATCTAACGGAATACGCCTAAGAGAGAATCAGTTTTTAGCAATGTGTAAGCTTAGCATCTGAAACATATGGCTAAGTGTATCCCAGAAGGAACCTAGTCTTCCCTAGATCTTTCTCTCCGCATTTGCGGCCGGAATCTTTGGGGGGGGGACACTCTGGAACTTTAAGTCAAATTGACTACTACAGCCATAGAACCAGCCCCCAATGCAGTCGAAGATGTAGGGCTGGTTGCCAGTCAAACAAAACTAGACAAAGCTCTCTTACCAGGCGTAGTTCGTGCACTGATTTTGAAAGGTCGGTCCGAACCTCACATAAGTCTCGCAGAAATATACGTACAAATTTGATTTTTGCCGTCGGAGTGGAGAATCGTTTGTGCGGCGTCACTGGACCAACAGGGGCTGGTCGTACGGTCACAATCTTTATACGCGGGTATTTGAACACGTTGGTGCGTTAAAATGAAGTTAAAGCAAGGCTGTTATCGAGTCAAGAATGTCTTGACCCTTCCAGTGGAATGAAACGAAATTGAGTAGTTGTTCATTGACGTGAAGTGCTATGTATTTCCGAAAAGACCTTAACATAGCACAATGGAATTTTTTGTGGTAGAAAGTTAATATTCTTACCAAAGGTAACGAGTATACAGTAATTATGAAAAGTAAAATGCAGCTGCGCCCGCTCAACTCTAGTTGATCTTGACACGTAATTGTTGTTTATTAGTTTAAGATGAGAATCGATCAATAAAAGTAAAAATCTTATGCGGGTTTACCTCCAAAAACACGAAATTTACGTAAAGGATAGAAAGAAAATGTCATGTAAGCCTTTTTATATGGATTAAAAACCGATATAAATGGTCTTAATTTACCAGCCGAATATCCGCGCACATTTTGAATAACACGGTAAACCCCGTAAATTGAAAACTTGGATCAGTTATAAAAAATGAATAACAAGGTAAGCTGAAACATCTACCACGGTTCGTTTGTTCCCTCTATCGATATTTGTGGAACTGAGGAAAATATGACGAGCGGTTCTCGTTGAAACAATGGTGAGTTTATCCAAAGCCCGATGGGTTAGATTTGTACACGTTGTGCATCCTCTCACATGAGTCTTGAAGGCGCGCGCGCGCCTTTGCCTGCGATGGCATAATGCCTATGCATATAGGCGACAACTGGGTGGAAATCGAGCGAACGGCAATCAAATTGTGCTAAAGATGAGCCAAAGGGTCAATTGCGTGGCCGTTTCCGACATCTTTACCTATGTTCTACAGCTATTTTCCAACAGATGATCAAGCAAACCTGTTATTTAAATTTCATTTTATTCTACCATGGGGCATTTTCAATTTACTGAGGTTGTATTGTACTGTTGGTAAGCTTTTAAATGTCGGTGTCAAATTGCTGCAACTTGCTTCGACATACATTCTGAGCGCTTTCACCAGTAGCAGTCGGAAATCAAGAGTAATTACTGACACTGATTATCGACGAGTCCCAGGAAGCTGTCGTAAAGACGGAGACATGATGGGACAAGAGCTTTATTCGCCTGACGTTTCGGATTTCTGCTCGAACCCATCATCAGAAACAAAAGCAGATACAGGTGGCTGATGCACAAGGGGCTGCAGTATTTGCAGGTTGCAGTCGCCATGCTACCCCGTATTTATGAATATTCCACGGCTCCCCGCTTCATCAGGAATCGTAGCGCTTGGTGTGCTGACTGTTGTATGACCGACATTCGCGTCATCTCGAAATCGGTGAACAAATTGGTGTGCCTTTTACCTCTTCGTAGATTGTCCCGTCGAACGTGAAGTACGTCCTGATACGCGTCCTTCAGGAGCTGAAGGACTTGGGCATGTCCAAGAAGATTCCCCGTTTCATTGTATTTGCTTTTAAGAAGCAGCTCGATTGTCTCTATCGCCAGGTCCTGGGGAAGAAGTAAAAAGGGTGGTAACATCAAAACATACCGTGAGCTCATTTGGATGGAGGCTTACCTCTTTGAGTTCCTCTTGGAATTGTGCAGACAAAGAGACCGTGGTGTCTGACTCAGCGGTCAGGAACTTAAGACGCCGGAGCAGCCACTTAGCCAGTCAGTACTTTGGAGTGCCTTTGAGCGACACGATGGGTCAGAGGGGAGTGCAGTCTTCGTGCACCTTAGGGAGGCCATAGAATCGGGCCAAAGCCGTATCTTGGGGTCTGGCCATGCGTCTGTCGGTCGGTGTTATTGCACCTGAGATAGCCAAGGCCAAAAATGTAGCATCGATTTCGCGTGTCAACGCTTTTAAAGGTTCCGTTGCAGATGGGGACATAGAACTGTCGGTCCTTCAGCAAACATTTGGCTTTTTGAAGGTAGTCGAGCAGGAATCCGAAGCGTCAGACAAAAAAGATCTTTTTCCCAGCAAGCGTGTCTCATTCTTCAACCAGCAGATAGCTTAAAATTTCTGCAGGACAGGTCAGGTGCGAGGGAAGACGTAAACACTTCTATCAAGGGAAGTGCTTTGCGCCGATGGAGTTGCAGATAACGCCTACTTCGTCGCCCCTTTGAACACAAACAGTGGGACAGTGATCAGTACTATATGCTAATAACTCAGAAGTGTTTATGCCGATCTCCCTAGCCTTTGTCGGCTCTGTACTTCTGCATACATTACTAGTCACCATGTGACTGACTGTGAAGATACTAGACTGAGCCCCGAGACACAAAGAGATGGGCATATTTTGTAACCCGATCGGAAAACGTACATTCTTCGATGATCTATATTCTTGACAGCAACTGCGAGGAAAATGGATCCGTGGCTGAATGGTGGGGCGTTGAACTTTATAATGTTTAAAAATCCAACATTCGGAGTTTGATGATCTTGTTAGTCAAACCTGGGTTGGGATAAATGATAGATGACGACCAATAATAAGCCATGCCATTCTCCTTGTTTCGGACAATATACTTTTATACGGTGGGTACGCTTTCTCACAAGATGTAAGCCAGGATTCGGATATGCGCTTTTGACTCGATGACACCACCTAAGTAGGGCTGTGTTAATAAGTACGGCGTAGCATGATCCAAAGCTATTTTAATCACACCAGAATGCTGCTCTGGCTTCTTTTCGGCTGTTTACAAGTTTACACTCTTTAAAAATGACCGTATAATAAATATGAGTTCTTCTTATCGATTTCCAACGTTCTAATGAACATGGATTTTTTTTAAAAAAGATGTACAAAAATATTTTTTTGTGTCTACCATTTAGTAGCAGATTGTTTTTTTCAAATTTTGCGCTCGAGAAAGGTTATCTTCCAGTTTTAAAAGAGTTTGTCATTGTGTATCTTTACAGGATCGCCAATCCTTCATGCGTAAAACATCGGATTTCAACAGCTATTGAATCTGCATGTGAATTATGCAATATGATTCAAATTAAGAGCAGAACTTTAAACACCCACAAGGTTTCCACTTAATAGCGTGTAACATGTATAGTTTTCCCTACAAAAAATGTACAGTTTATAGTTTGAGAAACTTGAGAGCAAGTCTAAGGAGAGGTGGAGTCCAAAATTTTTCAGAAATCTAAAATATTTGAAAACAGAATCATATTTCGGTTTAGAAAAAAGATATAGTTTGCCAGCAAATGAGTAAGAGAACGAATACTTTTTCTATTTCCTATAAAAAATTTTAATTTATAAGTGCATTGAAAATCAGTAAGACCAATGCAGTCGTTTTTACAGTGTATAGTTTTTGCAAAGAACCGCAAAGAAGCTCGTTTGAAAACGGATATCTAATATGAATAAAATATCCTGAGCTACTACTGTCAAATTATTCATGTCAAAACCCAACTTAATTAATCTTTTCGGATTGAAAACGCATTTTGCAATATCACTTGAGATTTATTGAGCTACCAATCCTACTCCATTTGTACGTACGAGGGTCGACGCAAAGTTTGGACACGCTAATAATTGCCGTTTCTGCCTTCAGTCAGTCAATTAGGTCCCTGACTAACAGCTGGGAGCTCAAAAAATTATTCGCGCTCGTACACTACGCAGATGGCCCACATACGGGATCTAACAGATAGGTCATAATCTCTTTATCAAAGCAAAGCTCATCAGCGTCTCCCCGCCTGTCATTCTCCATTTTGTTGCAGACTTAGCAGCTATTGAATGAAGAATTTGCATCTACCGATCTGCTGCATTGTCAGAAGAAGCACCTAGTAGGCGGCAAGAATCGGGATCAGGCAAATCACAATAGCGGCAGCGATGAAAGTGACAGGTGGGCAGGCGCTAATAAACTTCGGTTCGATGAGGTGCTTACGATGCATCCGCTTGGGTCCATATGTGAACCATCGCATGTTTATGTTTCTGCTCTTACCTGGTCATCGGGAAGATAGCTGGCTAAATGAAGTCTAAATAGACCCCAAAAAGTGCTGTTCCAATCAACCAATATTGTAAGGTGTGTTTGCGCATGAAATGTCAGCCGAAATTTTTAAATGCGTTTTCGATTCGAAAAGATTAATTAAGAAGGGTCGTAAAACTAATCGTTCTCCAGAATAATTTTAAAATAATTCAGTTGCCTCAAGATACCGTTTTCGAAGGAATATGTTTCCGGCCACATGCAAAAACCACACTATGTAAAAAATGACTACTTATGTAGGTAGTGTGAATCTTTTTGATTGATTTTCTATGCCCTCGTAAATTTAAATATATTTTGTAGAAAAAGAGCATGAAAACACTTATTTTTTCACGCATTGGGTAGACAACTCCGTCTTCTTACAATTTCATACTCGAGGAGAGGGTATTTGTGGGTTTTAAAAAACTCTTCTAATCCCCAAATGATTTTGAGCTCGACCTACCGTTACACTTGTTTTCAGAATTCCCAACCTACGATCCATAAGCGTTCCGCGTGCAAAAACCATACATTTCTCCACGATATTAGAAGAAAACCATGCGGGTTTCATAAAATTTAGCAGTGAATTTGAACCATAATGTTAACTTTACCAGCCACATTGCTAAGTACAATGAAATGACGTTTCATGAGCGGCTGTTTCACGGTATTTAAAAACCTCACAACTAGAAATATTTTAAAACGAAGTTATACCCTTCCTACGAGTATAACATTGGAAGACTTGTTCTACCAAATGAGGAAGCAAATGTATAGTTTTATGACATGTGTTGCACATAATAAGGGTATCGAAAATCTATGAGAAAATCTGCTGCCATTTAAGTGGGCAGTTTTTACCGAGCGTAATTTTTCAGACGGTCATAAATAAATTCATTCGATTGCCAGCACCCTGAGGTTATTATTGTAGAACCATGCTGCAAAATAATTAATCAACATTTCATGAGTTAGCACACCTACTCTAAGTCGTTCCTTCTCTCTCTCTCTCTCTGTCATTACAACTTAACTTAATTTGACCTGGTTATTAGTTGCCTGTTTGTGGTCTTTACCATCTATATGATGCCATTTTGCTTAAAGAATCTAATAGGTCTGTGTGCACATATTCCTACTTGAATTTGCATGATTATCATGCGAGAAGCACAGGCGCCGATGATAAATCCAGACACGCGTGTTTCGCCACAGTTCTGCTGCTATATGACACAGTTGCGAGAGGTTCATCCCATCGGCGAGCCGCCATCGTCACTCACGTGCTTTCTGGTGGAAAATACATTTTTAAGATTTTGATCTGGATTCAAAAACTGTCAATATCGCGTGACCAAAATGTTAAATGCCGTCCACGAATTTATTCAGATTGGTAAACACGAAGCACAGACGGTTCCACTTTGCCTTTTGGCTCCTCACAGTCAATTGACTACTCTAGGAGTGCCGGAAATTGGCAAAATAAATAATGTAATGGCCGTTTTCCGGCATCTGGGATCAAATTAGTTGGACTTATTTCCGCACTCACAGTCGCGCGGGCCTGTGATTTTTCATTCCCTTGATAGGGCCAAAGCATATTCGCATTAAATAGGCTGCCAGTGAAACTGTACATCAATTTTCTGTTGGCGAGATTTTGAACAAGTGATCCTACCGTCCTATTAAAGTCATCTCTTCAAATAGAAAACACATTCCAGCTAGAATAACATGAGATTGCACATCTACTGTATGCACGTAGTAGAGTGGAGGGACGATCAAAATTCAGGTAAACGGTAACGTTTTACAGGTGCCCTCATCGATGAATCCTCCCTTCAGAATACAATGCTCATGATGCCATTTTCATCTGAGCCGCATGCCTAAGTTATTATAGTTGGTTACACCATGGTAAGGATAGTGAAATGACATTCTTCGAGGCGTTTCGTATCCAAGAACCTCGGTGATCCACTAAGTAGTCCTTTGGTCTCTGACAGGGTCTATTCCAAGTGACCTTGAAAGTGCAATAACAAATCTATCCTAACTGGACGAATCAATGGGAGGCATTTCGATCTACCTTCTCGCCCCACCACGTAACCCTATCAAGTGGCTCTATAAGAACAGTATCCTTGTCACGTTAGTGGTTGACAAATTCCGATTTCTTTTGTTTTACTTCCACTTCTGTTTAGCGGTTTCTTAGACATTTCGATGACAAGTTGTCATTTTTCTTGTTTGAGCCTGTCAGACAAAGATGACTATGAGAACATGGGACTTCATCTTCATGGTTTTAGGAGTTTTTGCCCGTCCTTTGATTCGCGCCAGTCTAGTGTAAGAGTGACTTTAACTCGCGCCCCATCTGTCGGACCGTGATTCCGTCGGTTCCCGCAAGTATTCATGCCTAGTAGTCATATGTGAGATCAAAATCACGATAGCATGCTGATCCCATTATAGGAAATTCGATCAAACGCCTCGGCGTCCCTGAAAGCCAAACCTTCCTTTGTCCGGAGCCATGATTTAAGTGACCGCTCCCTTAACCTGTGCGGTTGCGCTTGATTATAACTTTCCAGACGGCAGAAGAAGTAGATTATGCACGTTAGTTGACATGTTCTTTTTAACCGCTTGCCAAGAGGACTGTAAAACATTTTACGATTTTGCCTCTGATGATGCTTTTGGGTGTGAATGCGAAACGTCAGACGGTGTTCGTGTCTTCTCCTCCGCACACTGCTTCCTGCAACTCACTTCTTCGCTGGCAGATTTATGACTATGAATCGTGCAATGCGGCGGGCAGAGTGAATGATACAGGTTACGATCAGAATAGTTAAAACAGTGTGGCAATGCAAACGTTGTTGTGAGCCGATTTGCACAATTTTTTTCTCCTAATTATAATTGACTGGGTAGTCGAAGTGAAGATGGAAGGCCGAGTTGAGGGACTAGCGCTCATCGTATTCGTTTGCTGAATGCCTTAGGCAACGCCATTTCGGTCTTCACAAGCGGCGGCACACACCGTGTGCCTTCAGGATATTACTCAAAACGAGGATTCGTTTATAGTGATGGCAGACAGGCGTGACATCTGCTGCATTCTAACATCCATCACGAACGCGGCCACGATGCGACTGCCGGCTACGGCGAAACTGCGAATGGTAGATTGCATTAACTCATTCAATGACCGCTACCTCGACAGAGCATTATCGGAGGCTTTGAGAAGTGGGAAGGTCTCGACCAAAAAAATTTAGTAAAGAGCTGGTCATTCGGAGATCTGGGTAGGACCACCTTTGCCAAAGCCTTAAATGCTCACAAAGAAGCAGAAATGCGAGTGGTGTACTGCACCAGTATGTGGTGAGGTACCGGACTAATTTACCTTTGACAATTTAGTTCCGTTTTCTTTGCCCGCACTGTTTGTTTGAATGGAACGAAAAACAACACATTTGTACAACCCGCCTTGCTGGCCTGTTTTGGCGTCGCGCTCTGTTTTCAGGTTACTTAACGTTCAGAATCTCTATATTATTCAATGCTCAGTTTTACTTGCTGCCTTTAAGGCTAGGGGCTCGTGTGATATAACTCACATTACCATCTACGTCATTGATGAATCCCGACGTTATCGCAGAATTTATTCCTTTCTATGTCATACTGAATGAGATTTAAAGTACTTTTTGGTGAATTTCTATTTCATTTACGTCTACTTTGCTCACGAATTCAGATATTTTACCACCACTGTCTTAATTATTATGCCTCATTCAAACCAACAAATTGGTGCCTCCACCCAGTCCCCTCATGCCGTCACTTTTACCTTGCCGTAATTCTGGCAACACGCTCCAGAATTTAATTTCATCCGCATCGAGCCAGTCTTTTATTCTGCTAATGTTAACAAGGAGCTGGCGAAATACCACAAACTTGTGGAGGTCCTCCCCGCTAGTGTTATCACTCAAGTTCAGTCCTTACTATCTAATTCTACTGCACATGCTCCCTTTTCCACGTTAAAGTCAGAAATTATTCAACTTAATTCTTCGTCTGATCGACAGCGGTATCACAGCGGTACCACAAGTAACTTAAGGTGGAGTCACTGAGTGAGCAAAAGCCCTCAGAACTTCTACGTCAAATGCGTTCTCTCCTTGGAGACAAGGAGGTCGGTCGACAAATTCGTCAAGGAGATGTTTCTTGAGCGTCTGCCTGCAGATGTTCAAACGATCCTGGCGTCCGGTTTTCAAGATCTCACGGTCTCACGGCTGGCTGAGATGGCGGATCGAATGATAGAGTTGCAGCGGTTCCAGTCGCCTTCCGTTGCCCAAACCTCCACATCCTCATCGACAGTGAATGAGCCTTCGCCTAAGCAGGTGTCGGCCATGGCAGATGAGGCGGCCTTCCTTATACTCCAGTTCGCACGCCTTACTTCCAGTCGCTCACGCAGCCGTCGTCGTTCTCGTTCGCGACCTCGGACTGCCGATATTTGTTGGTATCATACTAATTTCGGCGTAAAGGCCCGTCGCTGTTCCTCACCCTGCTCTTTTAAGCATAAACAGGGAAACCATTCAGCCAGAGAATAGACGCGACCGTTTTCTCTGGTTCTACCGGCTCTGGTCGCACCTTCGACGTTTGCGACACTGCGACTCGCAGAGGTTTCCTGGTGGATACTGGGACCCAAATCAGCGTTGTTAACCCAATTGCAACTGATCGTCGATTCCATAGCCCTGGTCTACACCTGCCAGCTGCTAACTGTTCCCCATTTCCAATTTTGGCAGTCTGTCCCCTACCCTGAACATTGGCACTCGTCGGTCGTTCAACTAGGTCTCCGTGATTGCTGATGTCCCCCATGCAATCCTCGGCTTGGACTTTGTTGCCGAGTTTGATATCCTTGTTGACTGCCGACGTGCTTGTCTCCTCGATCGCATAACCGGTCAGTTTGCTCGTGGACTAACACCCTTTACTGCCCCCACCAACTTATCTGTCCTGGATACAGATACTGCTAGCCGCTTTCGGCAACTGCTTTTTAGTCCCCCCAAAATAATTATCCCCCAACATCTCAGTATTGAGGTCCAACATGATGTTCTGCACCATATCCGCACCTCAGGTCCTCCGGTGTTCGCTCGGCCGAGACGACTAGCACCGGCGTTTTCCGAGTCGCGAAGGCGGATTTTGAACACATGCAGCAACTGGGAATAATTCGACCATCCGAGAGCCTTTGGGCGTCCGAAACTTTGAATGGTAGATCGCATTAACTCATTCAATGACCACTACGTCGTCTCAGAATTATCGGAGGCTTTAAGAAAGGGGAAGGGCTTAAGGAAACAGATTCATTAAAGAGCTGGTCATTCGGAGATCTGTGTAGGATCACAATTGCCAAAGCCTTAAATGCACACAAAGAAGCAGAAATGCGAGTGGTTTACTACGCTAGTACACCGTGAGTTCATCGCTGTCCTCTCCATTTGAAAAGGTTAGTTGGCGAACATATGCTTTCGGTAATTCATCGTCCGGCCAATACAGTTACATGGCGGATGCACTTGTGAGCTATGGACAATATTTAAATATGTCCAGGGGCAGGGCTAATTAAACTTCTTGTTCTCACGTCGCCTGCATGGCGAAGTCAGCGTGTTAATAACAGTGGGGCTGGGTTGGGATGGGGGGAGGGGTTCGGGTTGGGACGTGAGCGCTGTCCGGACGCCACACACGCTGAGTGCTTGTGACTGTTCTCAGGTCGTTGAGGCGACGTACGAACAGGACTTGGAGTTGGTCATGGGTTCATCGATTTTTTCTCCTTTTACTGCCTTAGCCATTTGGTGGAGGCTTGGGGACAGCTTGACAGCTGGGTGCGTTATAATTCCTTTACTCGGTGGAGAGTAATTGATTCTCTGCAGGGGCTACTCAGTTTAATAGCTCTTTATCTCCAACTTCGGGGGAACTCGTTGTCGACCGATGCCAATTATCGGATGCTATTGGAAGCATAAACTCGCCGTGTAATCTTTAGTTTAGATATTGCAAAATGCACTGTCGACGCTTTGATCCTAGAGTGTAGCTTTCTGGAGAATTTCGGAAATACTGAAACATGTTGGTCGAGCGATGAGATGAGGCTTAGAGTAAATAATCACTCAGAAATGACCATGCTGATATCCTGGAGACGCCTTTGCGCTCAGACGTGATAGCTATGATGATGTTCTTGGCTGGGCGAGTAACTTGACCCAAATTTGATTAAACACACGTCTTCCGGTGGGGCCTCGTAGCTCAGGCGGCTAGAGCGTTGGCTGTACTATTGCCTTCCCCTACTCTCGTGGGTTCGAATCCGACCGAGACGCCGAGTTCTTCATAGTTGGCTCAATATGAAATATGCTTGGAGTTAATTCTCAAGATACGAAGTGTCAGCTGAGTTTGCAAAATACGACCTCTTAAACGCGTATGATACTTAATTTTTTTTCAAGACTGATTAGAATATATCGTTATTCCAATATGTTTCTCTGATGTGCAGATTTCCCTCCAACAACGAAAGTCATGATAACTGGAAATGATAACTTAAGAAACTTAAATTGTCTCTTTTTTCAGCAGCTGTTTGAAGAGGTCGTATTTAACTATTCCGTGTACCCAAATCTCTTCTCAAATGCTCCATTTTAGGTAATTGTATAATTTTCTAATTTATACACGAGAAGTAGGGTAAAATGCGTTTATGTGTGTCTACATATGGGAGGGAATATGGACGGTCCAAAATATTTATTTAGGTTACGTCATATCCGAGCGGCTGATAATCCTGATTTTGATGCATGCCATATGAAATAAGTTAATGTTTATTTGACCTAATTACGAAAGATTCGGCGGCCTCGGTGAGAGTGAATTCAGGAAACCAATGGTATGGCTTGAGTACAGCGAAGGCTCGAGTTACGTGAGCTATAATGCCACACCGGAAGCCGTGACTTTAATTGCACCAATAATGTAGGTGAGTCTGGCATTCACCGGGCAGATTCCAGATTAAGGAAGTTCCAGTCGGCGAACGTATGTTTTCGATTATTCTTTATCAGGCCAGTACATCAATATAGGTCTAGGTAGGGCAGCGAAATTTGATGGGTAAAACAACGTACGAGCAGTAGTCATAACTTGAGGAAATGTGTTCGGACGTGTAGCGCAGTGGGATATTTATAGTTTAGTTTCTGTCATTGGTACGGGAAGGAGGGGGGGAGAGTGAACAATTTGTGCGGGCCTGAACTTCATGACTCAGCTTTGATCAGGGTCGTAACTATCCGCTGACCGCTGAAACGGTATCTTACCCTTGCCTTCAAGAAAATACTGCTGGAACAGTCGACTTACTGTATCAGATTTGCTGGGTTTCGTAAGTTACAGTAGGCTGGGCGGACAGCGTGAACCAATGCGATTTAATTCATAGCTCCCGGTGGGGTGTCGCAGCTCAGGTCGGTTGTACTCAAGTCATACCCTTGGTCTCATGGATTCGAATCCCACCAAGGGCGCCGAGTTTTCTTCAATTGGATGGAGCAACTTATTCATATCTGCGAAAAACGCCATCTAATATGCAAATATTTTGCGAAAATTTGTGAGTGTTAGATAGCCTTACCCAAAGAAGGAACGAACGTTACTTTTGTATCCGTGCGTGAAAATAAGCAGTATGTAAACGCAGTCTGCGAATTACAGTAAAACATCAGGTTCACAAATATTTTCTACATTAAATTAAATGAGAAAAAGAGGAATTTCGTAGTATTCTTTCATGAATTCAATGGAAATTTGCACATTGCAAGTGTAGGTAGTTATGCGAATATGATTTTGTCGGGGATTATAAGGATCCTCATTCAGAAGTGATGTCCTTCCGTATGTCAAACACCATAGAGTGGACGTGATATATGTTTATCCGTGCTGAGACCCCACTCTACAACTGGGAAAATATTTTACAAATTCAGTCAACGGTGCATGAGATTAGCCATCGGAGGGTAATTTTTTCAAAGCTGAGCCACTTTTGGCAAAGTCTCCCCCTGGCACATTCTGATAGATCAGGTTCGAAAGTCGGCGTTCGCTCTGTCTCGATGTGGCACAGAAATGAATACCCAATTAGTATAGGTTGTCTTGTGAATTTCGAGCGCGTGATTGGGATTTGGTTTCATTTTCTCGTAACATGAGGATTCCTTTAAAACTTGGAGCACTATAATATCTACCCCTGTGATATAGAGCATGTTTACCTGTCCTCCAGAGGAGGTCATTATTCCTCTGTTCAACTACTGCACCATTATTGTTCATGAGTCGTCAGTAGAAGAGCGATCGATTTTGCAATCTTCCATAGTTAAAGATATACATTGCGTTTTTTTCCTGTGGTCAAGGTTTTTTTATGAGTTTTTTTGAGGTGTAAGATTGTGAGCTGTGATTGCTGGGCAAAAGATTTTAAGTCGTTACCTGGTCTTCAGGCTTTTTAGTGGTTGATGCATACTATAACTGACGAAGTACAGTTTTTTTCAACTGTGTTCATTTTCTATGCCTGTTCGTGAAATAAACAGCAAGCCAACGCAATCTGCAAATTAAGGCATAACAACAAGTTTCACACGTATTTTTCATTGCGATTAAATGAAAGGTGAAGAAATTTCGTTGCATTTTGCCATACATTAAGATTAATTTGACATTTGCGAATTAACTTTTGATGGACAATGCTGAATGCCTTTCTGCCTTACTTTTGAAATACAGTAGCTAGCCTTTCTTTTAAAAGAATCAAATAAAACTCCGAAAGGTGGTTTTGCGCAGAAGTATTACGTAACTATCACGCAGCGCAATTGCTAGATATTCAGTTTACGTTAGGTAACCTGGTTTTGAATAGTTTTTTGAGATCGCTTGCGTATGTCAACCTGTTATCAGCAACTTCTTAAATATTTTGAATTGTCCCTAATGTTTGGCAATGTCTTGAGTAGCTAAACTACATTCTATAGAACAGACACAAAATATCAGTTATTGCACTTATTTGATATCCTGTTCCGCCTTCTGCAAATGTTGTAGATAAAAAAGGTGTCTTTCAGATGTTGAAGACCATTTTTCAATCGCGAATCATTTGGCGCCCGATTTTGATTTGTATTAGCGTTTATGAATTCTAAACCGTGTGATAAATACCCTCCATATAAAGAAAAACTCTTTTCTATAAATTATTATACAGATGACATATGACACTTATAGTATTTTGCAATGAGTTCAGAATTTGTTGCAAGTCTCATAGACAGAAATGGCAAAGAGTCAGATGCGTAGCTGTCTGAAAAGACACTTCAGAAGATTGCGTGGTTTTAATGATTGCAAAGATTTTGGACTAAGATTTAGCCTTTTTAAATAAAAAATTAGAAGGGACGTAGTTTACACGCAGGGAGTACAAAGAAAAATATTTTCGCGTGCGTTTTGCAAAGTGTCAGAATGCTGTGTAATTAGGCGTTTAACGATCTCAAAAAGCCTCATAATTACACTTTTGTATCCCAGCTGTATGTTTTTTCAAATATAAAATCCAAATAAAGAAGAGGGTTTCTGTCAAATCGATGTCCTTCGGGGCATTCTGCGCATGTTCTCAATTAAATTTAGACGAATATATGATGAATTCGGAAGTTAATGGAAAAGAATCATGCTACCCAAGTAATTATCTTTGAAGCTGCGTGGTTTTTTGTACGGCTGATCAAAGCTCATTTAAATGCCGACTAATGGAAAATTGCAAATCATAACCCTTATCAAAGTGGTTCTTCCTAATCGAAAACCCATTTAAAATTGTAATCAATTTTTTTGTGAGACAGGCTCGTTACTGTACGCTGACTGGTCGGCTTTAGTGCATACGCTGGACTCTGCGAGGCCCTTTATTTAGCGAAACCTCCTTGTATCTTCTCGTCCGCCTAGAAGAATGTTTCTTTATAGAAATTTGAAAAGAGCCCATTTCTTTCTCGTTCCATTCCGAATGTTCAGTCACTTTTAAAAATCTCAGAAAATAAAGTGAGTCTATACAATCTTAGGAGCAAACAATGTTGCTCCTATGTTCTTATCTCTCTAAGTGAGGCGGTTATTTATTTATCATCGAATCCGAACGTTTTATACTGTACTTTGAGAGCATATAACGTCAAATATATATATGTACAGTCTTAAAATATCAATCAAAATTCTTTTATGGTTTTTCGATCAGGAATGATTACTAAGGAAATGTCGTAAGATTAATCGAGTTGTGAATTAATTTCGTGATACACGTCAGACACGTCAAGTTACATATAAGAATCGCACCCGGTGAAACATGAATACTTATATAGCATGCATTTTCAGTATCGATATTGACGTTTTTTAAATATAAATACTGAACTTATTTTGTGACAAGTTATCTCTTTCTTCGATTTTTGAAATGCCAAAATTTTTGACTAATTGGGAACTCGATCTGTCGTTGCATTTTTGATTATTGTTCTTAGCCAAGAGGCTGTATATTCCCGTGTGAGAAAAAATACACATGCCTTTATTCAACAAATGTTGTATGCTTATTGGGGGCAGTCATTAGACAGACGGATACATTGCTATTTTAATGGATGTTGTATGGTCCTAAAAGCCCCATAATTATAAACTTTTCTAAAACCGAAAAATACCTTTTCTTCGAGCATTAAACATAAAATTTAATTTTCTACAACATGAACACCAGAAAGAATCATTTGTAAACACTTTTCGATATTATTTTAACTTATTAAGGACATCAAAAGTGATGGAGAAAATTAAGGCTTATGAGGAGTCATTTTTGGCTGGTAGTTTAAAAACAACGCTTTTGAAAGCCAAATTCCTGACGTATTCGAAATATTACGGAATTATACTGCGAGATACTTCTATTGCAAACTAATTCACACAATCCTTTTTTTAGTGAAAACGCATTTTAGAATTTCGTGAAATCAGCCAATGTTGTACATATGTATATTGGATGAATCAAAAAACGTAGGCATTGCCGATGCAAACGAATATGCGATTTCCAAGAAAAAGTTGATTAGAAGAAGAAGTGATCGCCAGAACAAGGGTTTTATTCACCTGACGTTTTGGATTCTCACTTGAACCCATCATCAGAGACAGTGGGAGACCCGTGACAGTGACCCGTTTATGCCACTGTCTCTAATGATGGGTTCAAGTGAGAATCCGAAACGTCTTGCGAATAAAGCCCTTGCTCCAGCAATCGCTTCTTCTACTTCTGATCAAAGCGGGCATTATCAACTTAATATCCTAAAAGAGTAATAGCTTGATTCCAATGATAAATTGAGAGCAGGCCGTGCAAATCTTCGGATACCTGAAAGAAGACATCAAACGCATTCCTTGTTTAAATATGCCATTTGGCGAATACGTAATTTTTTACATCAGACTAGTTAAGAAGGGGCGTGTTGTCGCGTACTGTCAGCATAATTTGACTGAGCTTCGTAGAAGTGGACATGAGTGACGTTTGCAGTTTTTCAGGAAATTGAAAATATGGCTATTCAGTAGTCAGTATCAGGACAAACAACCGCAGCCCACTCAGTCGTAGTCATATGTGCCCAATCCGTGCAGACGAACAGGCACCTGAGTTGCCTAATCAACAGTCTCATTCATCTTATCTGACAAACTTTGTCGTCAGGATGCGAAACACGTGCCCGCAGAAATGGAAAGATTATTGGAATTATTATGGATTTGTAGCTAACAACGCGGACATGAAATAGATACCGCTGCATTTACGGGATGTGTGAGCTACCAACTGCGTCCTTCGGCCTGTGCAGTATGCGGCCTGTCTGCTTTACATAAAATCTGGAGGAATTAAGTGCAGCCTAGTTTTCAATAAAAAGATTGGGAATTCCCCATGCAGGACGCCAAACTGCCTTAAGAAGCGACAGCCACATGAACGGCTTCCCTGTATCATTTCTATCATAATAGAAGCGACCTCTTTTATTACGTGTCTGCAAATAAGCGAACCCACCCAGGATATAAGGTAATCTATGACTAATTGAACCCTATGCAGCGTGTTTAAATCAAAGTCACCATATCTCCATTATACATGCTTTTAAACCATAACAACAAGACCGTTCGATAGCGGGCATTTGGTTATTCCATTTGGTACACGGAGTTCACGCGGCCAAAACCACACAGCACTTCTTCAGAAGGAAATTACTCTTGCTGCAGAGAAAACTATGTACTTACGGTTCCATGTGTCAGTTTTGCTTTGAATTCTTACTTCCTTCTGAACTTGTAGATATATGAAATCTTTCATCTCGTTGACGTTCATATCCGCGAACTCAAACGAAAACTTCTTTGCGTCAGTAAGCCGTATCTTGAAAAGTTCGGGTTATAAACACCGCATCGATTTATCGTAGAACATCTTGTAACTTCGAATCACAGAGTAGGAGTCTGATCAAATGTTTCACTTAATAATAAATTGACTCTTTAGGTTATTTAAGTTTAAACTGCATAAAAAGAACTTTTCATTCGCTTCTCTGCATCTGACCAACTTATTTGCTCATATACTGCATGAAGAAGCTTTATATCCTTTACAAATTTGGTTTTCCTTTTTTGGCGCAAGTTATTGTGTTTATGATATTTTCGAATTTCTTAGGAAATGTTATTTATAAGTAAACACCATTCCTTTTCATAGCCACGTCAAGTTTTCTGTATATTTGCGGATCATTTACAATTATTTCTGGGAACTTTTCGGTGTATTTGGGTCCAGTGTCAAGGGATTACGTATTTTTTGTTCAATGTTATAAATGTCAGTCTCCCACAGAAAAGTTCAAAATAACCCTGAAATAATTTGTTTTCTATTTTCCGAAGCCCAGCCAGTGACTAATGACCTAAAAGAAACATTCACTTCTTTGATGCTTTGCGTCCGCGAAACCAAGCGAAATACTATTTACCGCGGTCAACAGCATCTCAAGATTTTGAGATGGAAACAAGACATGGAGTTATCGTGGGCAGTATGTTTTTAACGTTGTTATTCTGAAGCTGTTTTATTTACGCAGGTAATGCATAAGACAACTTTATCTCCTTTAAAAACTCAATTTCCCCACCTGACGAGAAATATGGCGATTTGGCGTCTCAGACTTTTTGTATCACCGGTATAGCTACTTTAATGTTTGTTTTATATCCGTATTTAGTCGTGGATAATATTTTTATTAATTTTCTCAGTGCATTTGCGCAGGGTTTTTGATTGATTAGAGGTATTTTGTTAATAAGTACATGCTTTGTATTCCAAACATCCTTCAGTAAATCGAGTTCTAGTGACCAGAGTAACTTCACCGAAGTTCCCGACGCTCAATATTACATGAAGTTTATTTGTACGTATTCCACTGTCCCATGAAGATTAATTACTGCAATTTAAAACAAAGAAAACTGTACAGAAATGATGCTAGTACAGACACAGGGAGTGGTTCCAGTTTAGGCTATAAGTCCAAAGTAATCCTGAAAAAAATGTTTTTGGCCGCAAACAGCCAAGTGGCGACTGAAAATGTGCAAAAGCAGTAACAGATGCTAAAATGCAGTTAGAACTCTACGTTCGCACAGATTTCATTTCTTCACCTTCATCGCCTTCCTCGCCCTGACCCCCATCAATCCAGTCAACTATTTCGCCCTTCTGAGACAGTGGGGAGCGCTGCGGCCGCCTACGGCAACAGACACATCGTCTCTCTCGAATGCAGAGAACACTCAAAGCGATCAGCAGTGGCAGAGGCATAAAGAGGGACACGATCAGAGGCATCACAGCACCAATGTCTCCCTCCGGTTGAGGCATCGAGTAGATCAACACGAGGATGGCTATGCCAATATTCTGAATGGCCGTCTCAATGGCGATAGTGAGGATTTCGGCGCGAGATCTCTGCAGCAGGTAGGCGAAAAGGCCGGCAGTCAGAAAGGCAGTCCAGGGTAGGGCAGCCGCTGTGGGCAGAAGCAGGGGATACTGACCACTGAGGGCGTAGATGGGCAGGTTCACGTACGCGCCGAAACCGAACACCACCGCTAGGAAAAGAAGCGCCATTGGCCGCAAAAATCGCCGGATTTGGGTGCTCACCTTGGGAAGGTAGTGCTTCACCAACATGCCAACAGAGACGGGCACAACAACATAGAGCAACTCGCAGGCAATCTGTCTGTAGGGAATCCGTATCTGCTGCACGTCAAGGAAGAAGCGGCCGAAAATAAACAGCATCAGCGGTGTCATGCCTTTGTGAGGAAAAGTTGACTGGTTAGAGCAGCAAATCATGAGAATAGAGAAAGAGAGAGGAGTGGGAAAGTGAGCAATATTTCTGACAGATAAGGGCTTGCATCCACCAGCTGAAAGCTTCTCCGGATATGAGCGCTTATCAAAATCACTACCTCGGTGGGTTCCTTAAAGAGGACAGATTAAGAGTTAGTAGTCTCAGCGAATACGCAGAAATCATTCAACTTACATTACTGAGTTTCAAGTGGTCCGCAAAATCAAATATCACTTATGGCAGGATTGAAGTTATTTGACATCGCGGAGGACTGCGCTTTCTGTGAGCATCTGACTGAAACGGGCTACTTTTGTCTCTGAGGAAGTAAAATATGCCCCAGCTGCGCATATGAAGTCTAGGATGACAGATGGATTGTTACGCGAGGCCTTTTTCCTAATTTCTTTCCGTTATTAATGTTTTACATGCGGAAGTCTTCTATCGATGTTTGAATAAAAGCAGAGAAATATCGTAACTCGCAGTGAACTACGCAATATTCAAGACCTTGAGGTGCTGTGGCCCTGATACCCAATTTCCAGGAGTCCGGAAAAATAAGGTATGGCTTGTGTTTGAATGGTCGGCTTTCTCAAAACGGACATAAACTTATCCTGTCTGCTTCGTTCTGGGCAGTTTTATAGACTGCTAAAAAGTACTGGCAGTCTTCAGCACGAATCTTGTGTAACCGCTTACCTCCGCAGATCTCCAGATTACAAGTACTGTGCATGGTTCCATAGACTGTGAAGCCTCAATCCATAGATTGAGGGATCATTCAGTAGAAACCTTCCGCAAATGAAAATCCAACAGACCGAACTGGTATTTAAGTCAAGTAGGCGGTCAGGATTTCAAGTATACTGTCTTCCACCGTGTGAACCGCACCTGTTACCTACCGCGACTTCCATAGCTGTCATAGGTGATTAAGACATTGAATGCGCATCATGGTAGACTTACGTTCCGAGGGAGTTAGGTGCTAATTGAAGGTGACATTTTGAAACCCTAAAGATCGCCCTCTGGAGACCTGATTACCAGACGCTAGTTTAACCAAACAGTATTACTCCAACATCACAGTCTGCATCAGAAACAAAGTAGGATGGCCTCGATGGCGATGCCTGAAAAACAGTAGGTGGGCTAAGTCATGAAGTGTAAAGCGGAATTCCGAAATGCGTTTTCGTTTCGCAAAGATTAGGTAAAACTAGTCAACCTGCAACACACTTCCATGATACTTCAGTTACCTCAGGATGTCAGCTTTTGAATGAACTTCCTGCCAGATGCATGAAAGAAATTTGCTCCGCAAAAATAACCACTTAAATAGTATGCAATTTTCTCATTGATTTTTGATGCCCTTGAAAAAGCAATTATATTTCATTGAAAATGTGCATGAAATATTCATTCTTTTGTTCATTCGGTAGATAGTTACATCTTTTTCCAGTCTTCTACTCAAAGTAAGAGTATTATTAGGTTTTCAAAAACTTTTCCAATTCCCGAAAAGTTTTGAACCCGCTCTACCGTTGCACTTAGATTTAGGGTTTCCAAACTGTAAGCCGTATATTTTCCGCGTACGGCAAATTGCACATTTCTTTACGGTAATAAAGAGGATCATATACGTGTTATAAAATTTAGCAGTGGATTTAATCCATTTTGTTAACTTTACGAGCCACATTCGTAAATGCAAAGACATGACGATTTATGAGCGGCCATTTCACGGTATTTAAATGTCCCACCATTAGAAACTTTTTAAACCGAATTTTGCCCCTCCTTCAAGTATAAAATGAGAAAAAGACGTAATTTCTCACCAAATAAGCAAAATAATGAACATTTTCCGCATGTTTTCCATAAAATATTATTGGATTTTTAGGTGCATCTAAAATCAGTGCTAGATCATTAGCCTAAAGAATAGAAGCAAACAAGGCAGCAGAATTGTAAAAAACCATCAGCGTTTGGTCCATCAACTCGGTAGGCTCTTCAAAGTTGTGTTCGACATTTTATATGTAATAATAGAGCGGGCTCACAGTCTGACTAAGCTACATAAAAATTTTTAATAGAGATTTTTCCTCATTTACAAGTCACTGTATCGCGGGTAAACTGTATCTGACAGGACATTACTTGACCTACAAGAAGACTAGGAATTCACATCACGAATTATGCTCACAACTTCAATCTGTGTTTAAGCATGATATTCTTTATACCACGAAGTGTCACTGGATTTGGGGACGAAACAAGGTTTTTGCGACACCGAAACTCATAAGATCTAACTGCCCTTAGTTGGTCGTTAAGTACATTTTCTGATCAGGAGGGATTTTTCAAACTGATTTAAGCGTTTGAAGCTCACAGGCGGATGCTTATTAAGCAAACAGAAGTGGTTCAAGTGCATACTGACAGCACGACCTCTAACATTGAAGAAGGAGACACGATCGCTCGGACAAGAGCTTTATTAGCCTGACGTTTCGAATCCCTGCTCGAACCCATTATCAGGGACAAAGGCAGATACGGGTGGTTCATGCACAAGGGACTACAGTATTTATAGGATGCAGTCGCCATGCCACCGCAAACCTTTGATCATTCACGGCTCCCCCCTCCATCCGGAATCGTCGCACTTGGTGTGCTAATTGATTGATAGGCCAATAAAACTCTCGTCCCAGCGATCGTGGCTCCTTCTTCAAGACTACTTCCTGGGATTCGTCCCTTTGCTTCTATTGGCAATGACCTCTAACCAGATTTAATCGTTAGCAATAAGGACAGGTTAAGACTAAATCAGCCTAAATGCCTATGCCTTCCGCTATTTTGCGTTAGCCAAACACTTCACGCTGTGCAAATGCTGTTCTCCCACGCTCCTCTTGAACAGAACTCAATGCAGGCGAAATGGGTCAAGCGAAAAAACGACTTACCTAGAGCAGCAATGCTGTTGATGAATGTCATCGTCATACTGAGGTTAAGATCGCCATGCAGTAGGAGGGTCCAGACATTGGAGCCACCGCCACCGGGAGAGCAGCCGGTAGTGAGGAGACCAAAGCCTAATTCCGGTTTTATTGGCATGACCATCCCAATCGCGAATGACACCTGTGGAAAAAAATATGACTAGATTCACAAGTACCCCAAGATACAAACGCTACGTGGTAGCTTCTGTAGGCTAAACAGGGGAGTTTACGCCCATAGATATGGTAAAATATGCTGTAATAATTTTCTATGGTTATAGTAGCACAGTTCAGTAGTTAGAAGATGAAGGATTTAGCAGGAAGCACACAGTTTAAATTAGTTCGGATCAACATGTGGCTGCATTATTGAAGGGTATTTCTCCCAGCACAGATCTCGCAGGCCTCATGACATCAGTTAACAATGGCATTGAAGTGGTGTTGGGGTAAGCCGCATTCGAAGAATAGAGCACAACCTGAAAACTGAATTTCAGAGAGAGGGCTGTTATGTTATCTTTCAAGCTAACCCCTTAACTCTGTACTCCCCAGAAAAACAAATGATTTTTCAATTCGATAAAATCTGTGAATGCGAGGCGGGTGAGATGTGCAGTGCACATATTTTTACGAGTTTCGTAGCACTTCCTGAGTTTATTCTGAACTAATAATTTCAGGAATACTTAGAGGAAGCAGTTGAAATCACATATCCCAAAACTGTCATCAATCCCAAACCCCCTGCGTACACCTAGAGGAAATTATCGTCAAGGCAAACTAATAAGGCAGTCAGCAGCAAAAGTCGTTTGCATAATTTAAAAAGTTTACTTTCTCCCAGGCCTGACAGAAGCTCACCAACAGCGGCATAATAAGATGCGTCAGATGGGAGTGACGCGCACCCATCTACCTTAAATTCCGGAAAAAAAAACACCTCGGATCTACAGTGACATTGGGAGTCTGCTGCTTTGAGGGTTCGTCGCGCGCAACAACCAGCATTAAGCAAGTACGGAGATTTTAACGACAAATAAAGAGACAAGGGAGTAGCTATTTCTGGCACACTTGCTGCCATCACGCAAGTCCGGGCTGCACACGCCCATACAGATGCGAGTCTCTCAACGCAGTGGTGAGAGCATTGCCCGACAATTACCTAACTCGGGATTAGAAGCTCGGCCACAGAGGTTGTCGTTGGCGTATTGCTGAATGACTGCTAGAATGGGTCCTTCACTGGCAGTGGTTATGTTCATGAAGGAGGGAGTTCATCGTCATCGTCCGCTCCTCAGATCACCTAACAGCACTAAAAGCGGACTGCATGAATGTTGGTATGCTATATGCTTCCGATCGTCCATCATAGTCAGATTTCCATATATTGAAATCGGGTCACTTCCGGAACGATCGGCACACAGACACGCGCTAACTCATGAAATTTTAACCGAAATGGGTCTTTGACCCGAAAAGATTACCTATGTAGGATTGTAATATTGACCACCGTGAGGCCTCATCCCAGGATAATTCAAATACTTCACGATGCCGACTTTTAAACTATCTTCTTTCCGGTCGCCTTTAAAAACCGCACTCTGAAAAAAAGTGACTTCATATACAGCATACATTTTTCTCACTGGCTTTTAATGCCTTTATCAATACATAAATATTTCATCTTAAATATGCAAAAAATATCTGCTTGCTTTTTCATTTGGATGCAAATCCTCTTCAGATTTTGTACTTGAAAGAATGGTATAATTCGGTTTTAAAAAGTCTTCTAATCGTGAGATATTTTATGACCGCGAAATGCCCGTTCATAAAACGTGTCCCTGCATTTACCAACGTTGCCTGTAACGTTTGCAATATGGCTCAAATCCACTGTTTAATCTTATCAATTTCATATGATCTCCTCTTAATAAGGTATCGAAATGTATTATTTTCCGTAAACGAAATGTGGGCATCTTGTAGTTTCAAAACCCTGGATGTAAGTACAGCGGCAGTTCGGGTTCAAAATTATTTGCGAAAAGGTAAAGTTGTTTGGTAAATTATACCTTTCTTTCAAGTGTGAAGTTTAAAGAAGACATATATTTCTACCGAATTTTTAAAAGAATGCATATTTTTAAGAATTTTTTCTCCGAAATATTTTCGAATTTACACTGGTATCGAAAATCAATGAAAAAATTTATGTTACGTAAGCAGTGATGTTCTACAGAAAGTCGTTTTTACAGGCGGCCGGTGAGAAGATCATTTAAAAGCCGGCATTCTCAAGTAACTGAATTATCTTGGGATTATCCCTCACGGTAATTAGTATTACAACCCTTCTCGGATCTACAGTGACATTTGGAGTCCGCTGCTTACAGAGGTCGTCGCGCGCAAAAACCAGCATTAAGTAATCGCGGAGATTTTACTGAAGAATAGAGAGGCAAGTGAATACTGTTTTTGGCCCACTTTCTGCTACCATGCAAGTCTGGACTTCACTTGCCCGTACGGACGCGGGCTTGTCAACGCAGTGGTGAGAGCTTTGCCTGAGGTTCAAGTAACTCGGCGTTTGAAGCTCGGATGTGCAGCCTCGTACCGGCATATCGCTGAGCGTGGAATGTATGGCAAGAATGTTCGAATGGGGTTTCAATAGCGGTCGTTATGTGCCTGAAGCAAAGAGTTCCTCGACATCGTTCACTCCCCTTGATCACCCCATACTCTTTTGATCTTATATCGTACAGTTTGCAGTTTTAAATCCCCGGATATCAGTGCAACGGAAGGTCGGGTCCAAAATTATTGGGAAGTTGGGAAGGCTCTTAAACTAAATTTTACGCTTATGTGAGATGTAGGATTTAGAGAGGACGCAATTTTCTACCAAATTAGTAAAATAGTGGATATTTTTCGCATGTTTGCTGCGAAATATTTTCGAGTTAATAAAGGTGTGGAGAATCAGGGGAAAAAATGCCTCCTATATAAGCGGCCCTGTTTTATAGACCGATGTTTTTGCAGGCGGCTGGAGGGAAGTTCGTTTAAAAGTCGGCATCCTGACGTACCTGAATTATCTGGGGATTATCCCTCACGGTAATTAGTATTACAACCCTCCTTAAGTAATTCTTCGAGTCAAAAAATCATTTCAGAATCCCGGTTGACATTTTGTGACTCATCGCGTCTGCTCCTATCTACATCAAAATAAGTCCAAATGGGTCCATTAGCTCTTTGAAACTAAAATACTAAAACTAAACACTAAGAGGCAAGCACATACAATGCCAAAATGAGTTAACATACAATAGCAAATAGGTGCCAGCAAAAGTACGCATGGGTCGTTACAACCGCGGTTGGGTCTTTTCTACCCCCATACGGCTAGAGGTAGCGCTAACGAATGCCTGGAACCAGAAACACAAAAAAGCAAATGCATACAGCACAGATGACGGATAGGGAATGTCTGTCATTCAAAAATGGCGTTAAAGTGGTTTTTGGGGCTAGCCGCTTTCGACGAATACAGTACGGTCTAAGTATTTAATTTCGGAGAGCGAGTGCTGTTTTGTTATATTTCAGGCTATTCCCTTAACTCAGCACTCCCCAGAAAAATAATCGATTCCTTAATGCTAAAAAACCTGTGGGTGCAGCGTGAGTGAGCTGTGCATTGCACAATTTTTTATTAATTTCGTAACATTTCGTGAGTATATCATGAACTAATTATTTCGCAATATCTTAAAGAAAGCACTTGAAATTAAATGTCCGCGACACAATTTTTACTGGCAACCGCATAACTGAAATGAACGCTTAGATAAAGTCTAATTTGCCGTTGTGGAATAGAAGAAAAACTTCTGTCCACATTAACAAGAAGCACTATTAATAGTCTAATTTTAATGACGGTAATTGCCCGAGCCGCAAAACTTCATCCATCTCCTTAACGGATCCTCAGCCCTTTCTACGGGCTTTCTGGTGTATGCAATTTTGGAAATTTTAAAGCGGCAGATGCAACTCGAGCGTGGCCTTTAAAGCTCTCATCTTGCAATATTTATAAATTTTGTTACCTATTTGTGGAGATTTAGGCAAATATTCTAAACAAGTATTTCGAAAAAGGGGACCAATCTAACCGCCCATTTTTGTGAAAACATATGCAGCCTCGGTGAAATTTGAACGTATTACAGAAAGCCCGTATCATGACCGCGACCTATAGCTTTCTTCCCAGCGACTCAATCGATTTCTTTCCTGCTGAATACCTGACACAGCTTTTCTGAAAGCAGGGTATCTGCCTTCAATGGCCAATGAAGTTCTGAGGAATTTAAATTGACTGTCGGGGTCGGTTATCAGAATGAAAGAGCACTTGATCCGTTCAAACTTACCAGTGGCATGATTCCGAATTGACAGCAAAAACCAATAAGCGGCCCCACAGGCTTCTTCAAATGGTTCCATATCAGACGTGAATCCAGCGCGCACCCCATTGCAAAGGTAATTCCAATGACCAGAAACGTAATTACTCCCCTAAAGACCACTTCCACTACGCCACGCTTTCGTAAAATTCTAACCGGGAGGCCCATGACGGAACCACTACTGCCGAACTCACTCCTGTTCATCAGCATCGATAAGTAGGTTTCCACGAGCTGAGGGTCAGACCGATTCCAATTGTGCCACACATAGAGACCGGATCCATTCTGTTCTATGGCTTCACGAGCCCAAATTCTCAGGTAGGCTACACCCATGCGCACTCCCAGTATTGTCAGGTTCAGGGGAATAGTCACCTGTCCGGGCGAGGTAGGCTTTAGATGCAGCCAAAATGCAGGAGCTAATTGGGCCACTGGAGGATAGTCAATTTCGAAGGAGAGAGCAATAGGCACAGTAAGTTCGTATGTCAAATTGCACGTCACTTGTTGTGGAGTGTTCGTGTGTTGAAAGACCATTTTGGACTTATTGCAGGAGATGTTCAGGACCATCCGGCTGTCATCTGAATTGAAGTGGGTAATGAGGAGACCTGTGTCACCATAGTTGTTTATGTTTGCACGCACCTCGGCGTTGATGAGTTCGCGCTCGACACGATCTTGCGGGTCAATAACGAGGCCGCCTATTGACTCCTGTACGTATCCACCACCGAAGCCCATCACCCCGGTTGCTTGCAAAGTTGCAAGTAGAGAGAAAAACAGAAACGGATACTGCATTATCTATGCGAACGCTCGAACCAATGTCTGATTTTGTCTGACCCCCTGTTTTGGTTGTAGGCACAGGCAAGCAAATGTGGTGACCTGTAATATATATATGGGTGGCAGGTGCTGACTGGGCCTATCCGATTGTTGACGTGAGCTTCCAACCAATTGTAATCGGGGATGCACGCAGACCGGAGTCAACCATCAGACGCCAGATTATGAGGCCGAGTGAGGACTGTGGTATGCCACCACAGTGCTGTCCAACTCAGGCCGGTTATAGGCCGTTTGTCGTGCTCCAACGGGGTTCGATATGCTACCGTGCTAAAAATGTGCAGCCAGTCTGCTCGATCGTCGATTTCTCCGCCCAAAATTTAGCTAAGCATTGTGACAGAGTACGCAGGGACTTATGAGGCGTTGCACCTTCAGTCAGTTGACAGACTGAACAACGACAGGTGTCTGTCTATCTGAATCCTCCGGTGCGGGAGATATTAAGAAATTGTACAAGCAAATGCTGCCTAGTTTGTCGAATTTCCACCCAAAAATTCGACTTTGAAATAGGTGAGAAGGCACGAAATTCTTTGTGAGTTCAGAAGTGCCCTAAATCATTCGGCGAGCGCCGATGTACAAAATGAGTCTTCAGTTGAAATAGAAACGTCAAACGTGCTGTACTTTTCAAAAAACGGGGACGTCAAGAGGCCGGACTTAGGCCACAGAGGCAAGCAATGCACGTTCATAAATTCAGCGGATTAGCATTCGCCATGACCTACTGCAGTACGGCTGCCGTGACAAATGCATGATATGTATTTTCTCTTTTTGCATGGTTCTAAATGAGGCTGACTGTCATGAAAGGGATTGTGTCCGGCTTCATGCGTAGAAAACGCGCACGTCCAAAGGTTGGTGAGGGGCAGATCGATATCAGGTCAACGGAAGTCGCTCGTCCATCTGATAACAGGAGTCTGAGAGCAGTGAGAGTCTATTTTGTCTGTACACAGGGCAGGTTGCCGTGATTTGGCAGTCTGCTAGTGGGTCCGAATAAGTCATCCTATCGAGAGCGCGTGTGGTTTTCACACGCATCTGATGAGTACTCGCCAGTATGGACAAGTGATCAACTGATTATCGATCACGCAGTTAGTTGTCTTATGGACTGAGTCTCGGTCATAACTCCGCTAACGACGAATGTTCACGGGTAAGTAGTCAGGCTGGCCAACGTGCCGGTCACGGGAGCTGGCGCGACTACCGCAGGTTTTCATAAAGCCGCATGCCGAGGGGAACTTTGATGCCTAAGAAATTAGAATATCAGCAGCAGAACTAACTGTCATCGTGACCTTTCCTGTGTATCAGAAAAATCATTTTGTATTGATAGTGCATGTGCTTTCTGATGCGTAATAGCCGGTGGACTGTAAGGTCGTCCTTGACATATCAGCAAGCAGACTGCACCTTGTGTTTCTCTTATTTAAGTACCGGAAAAAAGTTAGGTTCTGTAGTCTGCGATAATAAGTAATTTTCTCAAAAATAGAAATGTTGAAAACCGCTGTTCGTATAGTGAATTCACGTATCTTTTCCTGAAGACGGCCGTTTGTGTTAGCTTAATATGTGCATTTAATCGGAGAAATAATTGCTTAGGAGAATGGCACCCATAAGCATCGTCTGTCATCAATATACGCTTTATTAAAGTCCTCTAAGAACTATTTTCTTTAGGAAGGCTTTACTATGGTAATTTTTAAATAATTACCCCAAGGAGAAGCCAGGATGAACGCTGTAAGGTTATCTTTCCCTCGGACCTCGCACGTCTAGAGGTTTTCATGAGGCTACGTATCGCGAGGATTTTTGAGGACTAAGATATTAGCTTGCTGCCCTCCTTTCCTGAAATAAATTCGAACATGGCAAGGGCGACAAAACATGCAGAATTTAATGGCGTCATAAAATTTTGTGAACTCTTATTCAATTGCATACAGTCATTGCGTATTTATAAGACAGACTGTTCAAGTTCAGCCATTACAATTATTTAAACATTTAATAAGTTAAGCCCAGCAAAACTCGCGGTTTCAATTATTCATCACCAGGGACAGATTTGAATTCATCGATTTCGCAAAGTATAAAAATCTCAATTGAAAATTAATGTTATCCGTAGATATTGCCTCTTTGTTTACTGGCATTCCTCTCACGGAAATGATAGTATTGGTAAAGGGTCCCCCAGCAATCGTTCTTACGGAACTCACTCGTCCCGTCTGCCTCACAGCTCTCCCCCTCAAGCCCAACTAGCAGCTGCACAGCGGCGCATGATATAGGCAGAATGGTATTTCCGACAAAGACAAGGAAGACTGGAATGACTATTTACGGCTTATTAGCCGTCATTAGCTAGTCATATCCAACCCAATGATAGTATTTCTATGTCGCGAGATTGTATACAGGATTTTTCAATCAGAATGGCGTTCGGAGACCTAAATGAATTGCCTCTTCGTTGCGTCTTAAAGGCCTGATTCAGATTCGTTGGCCCATTTTGTCGCCAGATGGATGGTGTAGCGATGGGAACACTCCTCTCACCTCTATTACTTGATGTCTTGATGGGAAAACTTGAGAAAAACCAGCTCTGCCCATTTATATATGACCTTTATTCCTGCATTCGATATTGATGGCATCTTTGAAATAGCAGATGAATAGCTTCATTGAACACCCTCCTCTTTGAATCAGGCTCACCCAGCCTTAACCTTCATCTTGGGAAAAGAGAACCGAGAATTCCTCCCCTCTCCGGGCATCCTCGTTAATCGAATGCGGCTGGAATTATTGATAGAAGTGTATTCCACAAGAAAACATGGACGAGCAATACACACATTTCCACAGTTTTGTCTCACTAAGCCACAAATGAAGCTTTCGCCGCTGCCTCACTGAACGAGCTAGCAGAATATGCACTCCAGATACGTTTGACAAAATACTCGCGATTATACAAAACACGGAGAGTCTGGGGTAATTCATAGAAGTGTAGTTCACAAGTAAGCATGAACGGGGTAATACGCAAATATCTAATTTTGTCCCGATAAATCAGGAACGAGTCTTAGTCCGTTGCCTCACCAACCGCACTAGGAAAATATGCACTCCATGTACGCTTCGGAATGAACTCACCATTATACAAAACAGTCAGAGAGAGATTGAAAGAAAGAGCGCGCGCGGCTATTCCGAAAACTGGACCAACAAATATATGGAAGAACGCCCTTCAAAATCTGAGGTGTTGATGACTGAGAAGAAGGAGTTATTTCCCACACTTCCGTTTCGAGGGATCCGGCGAATGAACTTCGACATCTACGCTTAAACGCTGCTATCGCGCGCGTCCCCATCCGCTAAGATAAGACTCGTTTGCCCTAACACTCCATTTCTTCGCCTTGACGGTAAAGATAGACTGCCATTTTACGCCTCTTTGATGTGCATCTGCGCCTTCACTTGCTCCTGGGGGCAGGTTATGCTGGTCGAACAACTAGGCTTCTATCTAAGCGGAAGCGAGAACATCATCCTGCCCGTCTAAATCGAGGAGTGGAAAAGTTCATCGCTAGCGCTGTTGACAGCGGCCACCGTGTAGACGTCAACCTGGCATTCCGAGTCATCTATGAACAGACTGCGTCAGCGGATACTTGTGACGGCAGAGGCGGTATTGATACGGTTAGTCAGTCCAACCTAGTGCTTGCATGAAACGTTTATGCAAGCGCTAAGGCTCCCCTGGACAAAGACGGGCCCAGCGTGTGTGTGTGTGTGTTCACACCTCTTGCCACGTCGCATTACAGTGACGAAAAAGAGATAAAGCTACTTATGACAGTGGGCGCTCACCGACCAGGTTACGGAACATGCTCGTTCCGTTGTGCCTTGGGGCTCATACAAGAATCCCCCCAGGCAGTACCACACCGACTAGTGATTTATGCAGATAAGGTGTTACCGACAAGGACAAGGGTGACCAGAATGCCATTTCTGGCTTATTAGTCGTCATCAGCCAGTCATACCCAACCCCAAGTGTGGATCACTTGAGATTCCAACCCGGGATCTTTGGTCATGGAGTCTGACGTTCTACCATTGAGCCACGGGCCCGTTGTCTTGTCGGTTGTGATCGGGAATATAAATTATGACAGATGGGCGCTCACCGATCAGGTTACGGAACATGCTCGTCCCGTTGTGCCTTGGGGCTCATGCTAGAACCCCCGCAGGCAGTCGCACAGTGACTAGTAGTCAGACGCCTCCCTACCCCTCCCCTCACTAAACCACTGACAGAACTAGATTGTGACCTCTGACCTCTGAACGCCCTCAGCCATCTCCCCCATACTTAATTTTTATTGGCTGTTTGATTTTTGCCATACAACATCCCTTATATTACTGCGCAGGCCTGATCATGAATAATCGAAAGAGTACGTTTGTCGGACTTTACATGGACTATTGGCCATGGTATGCGGGTGCGCATGGCGTGGGGGAGGGTTGAGGGAAGTTAGCTAGGCAAGCGAGTTCATATTACAGTGAAAACATGTTGAGCGTGATTACAGCTGCAACGTGCGAGGCAGGAGTCAGTCATGTGGGAGAAGTAAGAAGACGTGTGTGGGAATGTGGTTGCGTCCATTATCGATGTGAGGTTTATCCCATGATCCAGCTCATGGATCACGTCCTGAAACGCTTAAGGGACGTCTAGTCGACCATATGGCCCGTGTCCACTAGGGGCCTCATAACCGAACTCCTGGGTACCTTATCTTCCGACCTTAACAGCCAATTCGGGATGTATTCAGGTGTCCGAGCAGTCAACTGCCTTTGCGCGCCGAATGTATTTGCATCCACAATTAAATGTTAAATCATAAATAATGTTTGATGTGGCCTGCATAGACCGAATGTCTTTAGTTGGTCTAATTAGGATGGCCTTGTAGTGCTTATGAAAAACATGTTAGAGGTGGCGCCCGTCCGTTCAATCGTACATCGATTACGTTTGGCAAATG